AGTGTCGTTCCTCCCAGTTGATACGAAGCGCCAGTTTCTGCTCTCCAAAGGTCTGACCTCTGATCAAGTCTCCGCAGCACTTGCAGCACACGATGCGGCCGCCTCTGCCCTGACCTCAACACCTCCACGTATGTGCAGCACATGTGTGCGTGTGTTTGTGCGTGCCAAGTTTTATGTCTGTGTGTCTGTTTCTGTGTCCGTGCGTGTGTGTGTGTGTGTGCGCTCACTGCTGTGGGTACTTGTGCGCTCACTGCTGTGGGTACTTGTGCGCTCACTGCTGCGGGTACTTGTGCGCTCACTGCTGCGGGTACTTGTGCGCTCACTGCTGCGGGTACTTGTGCGAATTGCACTTCCGGTTTGTGTTCGTGTGCATGCCGCCTCATGTGCGACTGCAACCCTCACATCGGCGTCCTCGATGCATGCCGGTCCTGCAGGCCTTGGGTGGACATGGCAAGAGCTGGGACTTGTGCTGGGTCTCACTGCCACAGGCGGCTATCTCCTGTACAAATACCTCCAAGTGTGTATGGGTTTGTTCTTGCGCGCACGACAGGTTTCAACCCAGGAATCAACCAACAGCGCACCGCACCCCAGTCTCCCGCCCCCTTCCTCACCCCTTTATTGTGTTTGCTGCTGTCTTGTTACACCGCCCAGTTTTACTATCCATCAGCACCCATCATGAAGATGATGCGAGCTCGACCAACATCATCCGCAAAGCAGGTGTGTGCATGTGTGTGTGTGTGTGTGTGCGCATGTTCAGGTTGAGGGTTGCAACTCTGCTCCCCTCAATGTTGCCCGTGCAACACACTGATCGCATCCCTACATTGCGGTTGAATGCTCCATTGCAGCTTGAACGTATCCACAACAAACTTGGGCTGCTGGAAACCCGCATCGCAGCACTGGAGAAGAAAATGGACACCGATATGCCTGTGAGTGTTTCCTGGCACGGCTCGTAGCCGCTTGGCTTGCTCCTCGTTGTCCACGCGTGTCACCATGCTGTGTTTCACACACACACACACACACACACACACACACACACACACACACACACACACACACACACACACACACACACACACACACACACACACACACACACACACACACACACACACACACACACACACACACACACACACACGCACGCAGGGTCTGCAGCGGCGGATGCAGCAGCTCAACACGAAAGTCGTGAGTGCGGTTGACGAGCTACAGACGGACGTGGCCAACGTGAAGACAATGCTGCTTCGCCCAAAGGCAACACTCTCCCCGCGACGCAATGGCCTCCCAGACTGGCAGCGGCAGGTGCGCAGCAGACCAGCCACCGCCAACGCAACCGCCACCACCACCACCAGAAGCAACAGCAATAACACCAACCACACAGCGCATCAGGCACCTGCAGGCACCACCACTGCACAGCGCGCATCTCACTCCCCATCCTCGTCATCCTCGTCGCCGTCGTCGTTGTCACCGCCATTTTCCGCGTCTGAACGACACACCGCGACCACCAACGACAACAACAACAACAACACCAACGACAACAACAACAGCAACAACAACAACACCAACGACACCACAACGGAAGCACACCCATCACCTTCTCCACAGCTGAAGAACGACCAACAACAACAGCACAACAGCAAGAGCAACACATCACCGCAGGCGGTGGCTTGACAACTGCGAGCAACATACATGTGTGCGTGCGTGCGTGTGAAGTTGTCGCCACGCCACATCAATATCACTTTTCACTCTTGCCGCTTTTCCGTTAGACAGTGTGTATAGAAGAGAGGGACACGAGTGGGCAGCGAGGAAGGGAAGCCTCCCACAACCACAACACAAATACCAACACACACACACACATGCACGCATGCACGCGCGCAAACAGTGAAGAGAGCAAGAGCGACACAAGGAAGGGGCATGGCAGTTAACAACGCCACCCACGTCACACTCTGAACATGAAAACAGGCGCAGCAACAAAGCAAAACAAACGGGAAAGAAGAAGGGGAAAACGGGGAGAAAGTCAGCAAGTGCGGGGGCAGATGAAAGGGGGGGGGGGAAGGAAACAACACACAGGACCAACACGCTCTAGAACACAACACTGCAGCTCTAAACCCACCACCACCACCACCGCTACAATGACAACAGCACCACAATGCTGTCAAACAAAAAGACAACAGCAGCCTCTCGACAACACAGCGACAACCAAAGCACATGCACCCTCGTGTGAGCAGCAGCAGCACTGTCGCCACTGGTGTGTGGCACGCTGGTCGTGGTGAGGTGGAGCGAGGAGGAGAAAGGGGAGAGGGACGAGAGGAGGAAGGACTGCAACAAATAAAACAGGCACATCCTGCCGAGTGCAGTGCCAAGAATGGAAGGAAATCACACACAAAAAACAACGAAAAAGCTCAAGATAGATCTCGTGTTCGGAGAGGCGAAGAAGGCGAAAGAAGAGGGAAAGAAGGGAAGAGAGATGAAGCAAACCAGGAGGGGGGGGGGGAGGGAAAGAGGGAACAAGAGGCAAAAACGGTAGCACAAGCACAATGCAGCCAGGCACGGCGTGGAGTGGCGGATTTAGGCGTCAAAGCCGTAGCCACCCTCCTCGTTGCTGCCGGCCTTGAGCTTGATCGACGTCGACTTGGGAGGAATGCTGCGCGTACGCACACAACACAACAGGGTGAGGTGAGGTGAGGTGAGGTGAGGTGAGGTGAGGTGAGGTGAGGTGAGGTGAGGAATTGTTTTTTTTTTTTTTTGGTTGGAGAGAGGGGGTGGGTATGAAGGTGGGCACGAAGCAAGACACAGCACGACACAGCAAACAAACACAAACAACAAACAACAACAAACAACCAACAACAAACACAAAACAAATCAAACAAAACAAACACAAAACAACGCAAGCCAACATACCTCGGAGGTGGTCTGCGGACGGGCGGTGCGCCTGTGGGCGGCTGTGCGTGGCCGTGGTGGACGCGGGTGGTGTCGCTGTCACTCTCGTTGCGCATTGGGAGCTGCGAGTCAACCTCCTGCTGCAGCGACAGGCGCGGGGCCTTACCACCAGCTGGCATCGACGAGTACATGCTCTCCGGCTGGGCCTGCACCGGCGCCGACATGTCCAGCCAGTCCAGCACGACGCGGTACACAAACGCGTACTGGTCGGGCGTCTGGATCATGGCCATGCGCTGCGTGCGCATGTGCTTGGTCACCTGGTACAGGTCCATCTTGTTCTCCTCCCGCATGCGCTTGAGGCAGATCATGGCGGCAACAAACACGCCCGTGCGGCCAACGCCTGCGCTGCAGTGCACAACAAGCGGCTTCATCTGCTGCAGGATCGCCTGTAGCGCGTGCGTGCGTGCGTGCGTGCGTTTGTGTATGTGTGTATGTGTGTGGGTTTCGAGGTGAGCATACGACATGCAAACCATGCAAGAGCAAAGAAACCACCGCCCACGCAGGCGACAAACAAACGCAAAAAATAAAATAAAAAAATAATCACCACCAATTCGGTCCCCCCTCTCTCCTCTCCCAAACCACCACCGCGACAACGACCACTACAACGCTGGCTACGCACGTGCTCGTTGATGATTTCGCGGTTGCCGTAGATGCTCTCCTCCTGCGGCATGACCACGCGCGAGTTGGCGTACTGCTCAATCTCCTGGATCATGCGCACCAGGTTGGTGCCGGCCGTGGGCGTGCCCTGCGTCGGCCACTCAAGGTACTGCCACTGCTTCACCTCGCGCGTCTCGTCCAGCAGCAGGTTCACCAGCATCATCGTGCGCTCCATGAAGAAGCCCCGGTTCACCTCGCTCAGCAGCGTCACCTGGTAGTCGCCAAAGTTGAGGGGCGGCTCGTCGGGGTCTGGCCAGTACTGCTCAGACTTGACCCGCCCGTTCTCCTCCAGGTGCGTCATCATCACCACAGAGTGCACACCCTGCTCCCACACCATGCGCCAAAAGTCCGCAAGCGTGTTCTCCAGCGGGCCCTGCGTGGCAATAAACGCGCCCTTCTGCTTGAACCCGTCAATGAAGCTGGCGTTGATGTAGTCCGAGCCGACAACGCCCGGCACCGTCTGCAGCTTCACTCGCGTGTTGTCAAACGGAAGAATGTTGTTGAAGCGGTTCTTCTCCTTGTTGGCCAGGATCTGCGCGCTGTCCGTGCGCACGGCGGGGGCCGGGCCCTGTGCCAAGCGGTTGAACTCCTGCTCCAGGTTGGACATGTTCGAGCCCGCCACGGGCCGCCGCAGCTCGTGGAAGTGCTTGCGCAGCGACTTGGGCGACATCTCCGTCACCGCCGTCGACAGCGCATCGCACAGCGACGAGTAGATGAAGATGTACTGGTCCTCCGTCTGCACCATCGTGTTGCGCTGGCGACGCATCATGTTCAGGCACCCAAAGATATCCACCCGGCTCTCCCGCGAGGCCTTGTCCAGGTTGTAGTCCAGCGCCAGGAAAGTACCCGTACGCCCGACACCGGCAGAGCAGTGCACAACCATGGGCCCGGCGTTGGGCTGCGACCGCAGCACCTTGGCCTTGCGCAGCATGGTGATGATCCCCGCCGTGCTGTCCGGCACGCCGTGATCGGGCCACGACACGTACTGGAACTGCGTCACCGTGCGCGACTGGCGGCCCACCTGCACCGTCAGCGTGCGGATAACAAAGTCCGGGAACTCCTCCTGCTTGGTGAACCAGATGCTCATGTTGGTGGTGAGCGGCAGCTGGTCGCCAACGGCCTGCGGCCAGTACTGGTGGCACTTGATGCGGCCCTTCTCCTCGAGGCGCGTCACCATCACAATCACCGTCGTGCGGTTCTCCCAGATCATGCGCCAGAAGTCAATCACCGTGTGCGGCAGTGGACCCTGCGCCGCAATGTAGTACTTGGGCACAGAGTACCCGTCAATGTAGTTGGCGTTGATGTAGTCCGAGTTGGGGTCGCCGCCAATCACAGACAGCTTCACACGCGTGTAGTCGTACGCAAGAATGTTGGCGTAGCGGTTCTTGCTGCGGTTCGCATCCAGCTGCGACGACGTGCGCGGGAACTGGTCGCCCTTCTCAACACACTCGTACTCCTCCGAGAAGATGAAGTTGGAGTTGGCGCTCATCTGCTCAATCACCCGCGGCAGGTCCGGCACAGACACCTCGTGCCGCTGCACGGGTGGCATCTGCGGCGCACCAGCACCGCCCATGCTCGAGTAGATGGACGAGCTGTCGCCAGCCACAACCGGCGCTGCCATTGTGCCTGGCGGGCGCACGGGCACGGGCGGGCCGCCAAAGCTGGTCGACGCCATCGACGCGCCGGGCGGCTGCTGCACGGGCATGTTGCCGCGGGCAGCGAGCCCACCCTGCTGCTGCTGGTGGTGCTGGCCGTTCTGCGCATACCCCATGGGCGACATGGGCATGGACGACGCGCTCGTCTGCAGCGACGAAACAGCCTGGCCATACCCGTTGGACCCGCCGTTGCCAAAGTACGGGTTGCCCTGGCTCGAGTGCACGTTGGTCGTGCCGTTCGACGGCGCGGAGGACTCAAACAGCGGCGGCTTGGACTTCTGGTTGCGGCGGTACCGCACAAACAGGAACACCAGCACGACAATGATGAGCACAACGATGATCGCACCAACAATGGCGCCAATGGGGCTGGCTGCGGGTGACGACGTGGACGCCTGTGGGGACGAGATCAGGCGGCCCTTCTCGTCATACACGGGCTCCTTGATCGGGCCAACCGTGTCAAACATCTCGGTTCCGTCGCCAGACTGCGTGAAGGCGCGCAGGCGCACGGTGTACGTGGTGCCAGCGCGCAGCGGGCCGTTAAAGAAGCCGCCGTAGTTGAGCTCGTCGCCCACCACCAGCGAGCCACTCGTCTGCGTCGCGTCGTCACCGGTGTACTGCCGCTGGAAGGCAATGTACGCGCGCGGCGTCTGCTTGTTCACCCGCGCGTTCTCGTTCGTCTGCCAGTCGCCAAACGCACACTCGTCCTCGCCACTGGCCGACGTGCAGTTGTACATGGTGTTGAAGTGGCGGCTGTCCTCCGGCTCCACGATGACCTGCACCTGGCGCACGGGCCCAAAGCGCGTGTTGATGATGGGCCACGTGATGCGCAGCGTGGTCTGCTTGCTCTCGCCGTTGGGCCGGTCGTCGTGGAACTGCACCGTCGGCAGCTCCGCCGGGCGGAACGACCACGTCTGCACAGACTCCGTCGCGCTAAAAGGGCCCGGCGCAAACTCGGTGTTCTCGGGCGCCACCTTGATCTCGTACATGCGGTTTGGCTCCAGGTCCATCAGCGTCACAGAGGGGTTCTCCTCGCTGGCGTCGTAGGGCACAATCACGTCCGTGGCGTCCAGTTCCGGAGACGTGGCGCTCTGCCCGCCGTTCTCGACGTAATCCACCGCCAGCCCCTTATAGCTGACCACGTAGTGGCGCGGCGGGCCGTTGAAGTCGTGCATGGCAATGCGACCCCACTGCACCGTGATGCTGTGCGCGTCGTTGGAGCGGTCTGTGATCACGGGCGTGGCGGCTGGCGGTGCCGCCTCCGTGCGCACCGTGTTTGTCGTCAGCAGCGCACTGGCGTCAAACCCACCAGCCTGCTCCATGCCAACAAACACAGAGTTGATGGGGTACACGTCCACCTTGTACTGCACGTACTCCTGCAGCCCGGAGAAGCTGACACTTGTGGTGGACGTCTCCTGCGTCGCCACCACGTGCTCCGCGGGCGTGTCCGAGTGGTCATCAGCAAGTTGCGTCAGAATCACGCGGTACTGCAGGCTGGCGTCGTTCCAGTCAGACACGGCGAGCGCGTTCCACGACACGTCCAGCGTGGTCGTGCCCTTGGTGGTGGTCAGCTGGCCCACACTGGCGCCGGGCAGCGCCGGCGACAGAATGCCGTTGTTGTCTGGCGTGGACACGGTCGTTGTGTCAGTGCCCTCGCCAATGGCTGTCAGTGGCGTTACCGAGAACGTGTACTTGTCATATGCGCCCAACGACGTGAAGCGCGTACTGAGGCCGTCACCCTGGTTGTTGCTGCCCAGTTCCGCCAGCGAATATGTGAGGTCGCTGTGCACCTGCGCCTGCGCCTGCTGGTTCGGCGTCACCCGCACGACAACGCGGTACTCTGTGATGATACCGTTGCGCGTTGCAAGGGTGGGTGGGTTCCACGTCAGCAGCACGCGCTTGGAGGCGTCTGTTTCGTCCGTCTCCTCCGCAGCCACCAGATTGAGCACAGGGCCGGTTGGAATGTACTCATCGGTTGTCTTGGAGAAGGAGGGCGACGTGGGCGATTCGGGCGACACGGGCGCGCGGTTGGTGACCGTCGCCGTGAAACTGTACAGCACACCGGCCCGCAGACCATCAATGACGCGCGAGACAGTCGTGGTGGCGCGCTCCGCCGAAGTGAGCGGCGTCTGCAGCGTGGCCAGGTCGCCAAACGCGTCGTTGCCGTACTCAATTGTCAGGTTCTGCAGCACGCCGTTGCGGCGGTTGAGTGGACGGATGTTCACGCTCACGCGCACGCGCTTCTCCTGTGCAGTGTCATCTGCCAGCACCTGCACATTGGTAATGGCTGGTGCCGTGGGCGTTTCCTCCTCCGTCAGCACAGTGATGGTGTTGGCCTCACCGTCGCCCACGCTCGTGTGCGGCACAACCTCCAGCGTGTACTCCATGAATGGCTGCAGGCCGGTGGCCTGGAACGTGATGGTGCTGTTGGGCTGGTTCTCAAACTCCGTCACAATGGGCAGGCTTGCAGCGAGCGTCGAGTCGATCCTCTGCGTGTAGAACGGGTCTGTGGAGATGGTGAGCGTGGCCGTGTAGGCAACAATGCCGTTGCGGTCGGGAACCGGGAGCGGGTCAAAGTCAATGTCGACTGTACGCGGCGTGACGCTCACGTCGCCAAAGACAACAGGGGCGGACGGAATGGCCTCGTCGGTGCGGATGACGAACGTGGCTGCGGGCCCAATGCCAGCAGACGTCCACGCGCGGACCTCAACCGTGTATGTGACGTACGCCTCCAGGCCAACCAGCGGCCACGTGTACACCACGTCGCCGTTTGCGGGCACAAACGAGTTGCACACGGACGCAGGGCAGTTGTCCAGCGAGTCTGTGGCAACGCGTGGGTCGTCGTCCTGGCGCGAGTACACAATGGTGAAGTTGGTGATGAGCCCCTTCCGCTCCAGCGGTTCCGGCAGCTGCCACTCCACCATCAGCGATGACGACGTCGTCGTCACGTCCGTGTTGGTCACGTTGCCCGTGGGTGCTGCGTGTTATGTGTGTGTGTGTGTGTGTGTGTGTGTGTGTGTGTGTGTGAGCGAGAGTGAGTGAATGAGGGTACAGCTTGGATATGCGTGTGCTTGTGCATGTGACAGGGAGGTTCACCAGCAGTCACAAACGACTCAAATAACGGCAACCTCAACGAAAGCAGGAGGCAAGGGGCAGGCGCGTGCAAGTCACCAAAGTTCAACTTACACATACACACACACATACACACACACACACACACACACACACACACACACAAACCTGATTCGAGGAGGCGAACTGTGTAGGTCTCGGACCATGGGCTGAGCAAAGATGACATGCTGCCTTCCGTCTGCATCTGGAACTCGTACACAATGGCGGGATGCAGCGGGTCCCCACTCTCGAGGGTGGTGAAATCCTTGGTGAATGTCTGCGCACTGTACCTGAACACGTGCCAGTCGTCAGCGCCACCAAAGTCAGCGTCCGTGATGGTTGTGTTATCGGCATACGTGGTGTTGGCGGCACGACGCACACGCACGAGGTAGGCGACGAGGTCTGAGTTGTGCGTCTCGGGAGGGGGCGCCTCCCAGGTGATCGTGAATGACGTGTCTGAAGGGACAATGGACACCACCGCCGGTGGCAGGTCAGGTGGTGCATCATCCGTCTCAAACACAATTGCAGGGAGGTAAAACTCTGTGGCAGAGATGGCAAAGCCAGTGTCCACGTTGGTGCGCGCCTGGATGGTCACGTTGTACTTCACGCTCTCCTCGAGGCCGGTAAACACGATTGATGATGCGGGGTGGTCGACCGTGCGCACAAATTGGCTGGGCGCGTTCGGGTCGGCGTTTGGCTCATCATCCAGCCGCTGCACGAGCACGAGATACTGCACAACGCCGTTGAGGTCAGTCTCATCAAGGGGCGTCCACGTGACATTCACCGCAGTGGCGTTGATCACGGCGATGGCGTCAAGTTGCGGTGGCATGTTGGGCGTGTCCTAAACGTGTTGGCCACAACATCGCGTGAGTACAGGGCAAAGTCAAACGAAGGGCACACGCCAGGTGCAAAGCAAAGGAGGAGGAGGGGGGAGGAGTTCAGATAAATGGAGAATTGAGCGATTCATCACAAGGGTGTAAGCAACAGCAGGACGAGTGGCCACAACACAAGCGATGCGTCTATTGCAAACAAACACAAACACACACACACACACACACACACCAGTACACAACAGTGCAAAGACACACACACACACACATAACCACACATCAGTACACACGACACACACACACACACCTGATGCGTTTGCGCGGTTGCGGGTGTGGAGATGACACTGCGACGGTTGCCAAACTCGGCCTGCACCTGCACCTCGTATGTGTGATACGGCAGGATCTGGTCCGTGAGGTCAAGGTGCAGCGTGTTGCCATCCACGCTCTTCTCAATCACGGGCGCGCCCGTGACGTTGAGGTCGCGGTACTGCACAAAGTAGCGCGTGATGGCGTTGGGCGGCGTGGGTGGCGCCGTCCAGTCCAGCAGCAAGAGGTAGCCGTCAACGACGTTCATGGCATCCGGGTCAGGGCGGGTGAAGTCGGTGATGACGGGCCGGCGCTGCGCAAGACAGGTGGGCGTGTCCATCGTGTTGGTGAACGCACGAATTGGCGCATAGCCAAACGGCAGGAAGAGGGAGACGTTGGTGCCGTCGACGTCGAAGGAGGCATCAAGCGTGTTGTTGACAATCATGTCCTGGCGCGTGTGGAAGTTGTACGCGCCGCTGCCATCAACCTGCAGCACGCTCACGCCAAGCTGGTCGCTGGAGGCAAGCGGTGTTGACGCCTGGAGGAAGTATGCGCCCGTGTCCTCCGTCCTGTTGGTGCGGGCATACGGGATGCGCACAAACTTGAAGTTCGGACCAGGGGCAGTGGAGGCCGCAGCAAAGGTGGCATCAAAGTCACTGCTGGAGGCGACTCCAGCCACGTCGAGATACAGGCGCGTGTCGTCGGCTTCGGGGGTGGACAGGGTGATGTTGGTCAGCAGCACGCTCACGTTGAAGGACAGCATGCAATCGGAGTCTGCGGCCTGCACGGTTGTGACGGCCACACGCCGCAGCGCAACCAGGCGACCCGCCGCCAAAGACAGCAGGAAGGACACGTCGTCAAAGGAAACGATGCCGTCGCTGTTGGTGTCCGCGTCTGCGCCCTCTGCAAGGTCGTTCTCGGTCAGCCGGCCGCTGTACACATCGGACAGCATCAGCACATCCAGTACGTCCAACACGCCATCGCCGTTCATGTCAAAGGTCGGGTGGTTGGCGAGCACCGTCGTGAGGGTGCCGCGGGGGCCGCTGCGACGACGGCGGGCAAGCGTGTTAGCAACCATGGCTGCAGCGTCAAGCTCAAGGTCGGCAGCACCGTCGCTTGTCAGGCTGCTGCGTCGGCGACGTGTCATCATCATCGGGGTGGTCTCCACAAACAGCGAGGACGTGGTGGCATCAAGCTCAACCAGGCTCGGGTTGCCGTTGGCGTCCACCTCAACCACGGAGCCGCCGAGCGAGAGCTGCGGGCTGGTGGTGGTGAGGTTGCGGGTGGTAAACACGGCCACGCCGAGCTCAAGGTCGTCGCTGGTGATGGCATTGCCGGGGATGACGACAAACACGCTCAGTTCACCAGGCGTACGCACGTTGAAGTCGAGGAACGCAAACTGCACGTCCGAGCCAAGCTCCACCGTGGCCAGCGCAAGGAGGGCCGGGTCGTACGTCAGGCTGAGCACGGCTGCACGCAGGTTCTCCGCCTCAACGTGAAGAGGAACACGCACGCGCGAGAAGGACGCGGCAGAGACGCCGTGCGGCCCAAAGCTGCCAGCACCCTCTGCGGGCAGGAGGGACGGAAGGCAGGTGACAGTGGCCTGCACGGTGCCGTTCACGGCGATGCCGATGGTCACCTCTGTCGCGCTGCCATCGTGCAGGGTGATGATGCCGTGTGCGTCCACGCTCAGGGCATCCGTGTTGCTGGACGTGAAGGTGACGAGGGATCGGATGGCGAGAGAGCCGTCATCAAGACGCACCTGCCCTGGCGACAGTGGCTCGCCGGTCACCTCGGCAGCAATGTCGAGCGTAAACGTGGCATTCACCCGGCCAAGGAGAGGGAACGTGCCGTTTGCATTGGCCACAACATCAGCCACGCTGGCGCCCGTCACGCTCAGAGGGAGCGATGCATCGTCTCCCGCAGCAAACAGGACGGCGGTGGTGGCCGTGAGACCGCCAAAGGTTGCGGAGAGCGTGGCGTTGCCGGCAATGCTTGTGGTGATCTGCAGGCTGGCGTCAGCTGGCTGCAGGGCTAGCGCAGCGTCCTCCTGATCTTGCTGGTCGTCGTTGGCAGCGGTGAAGCTGGAGGCAAACACGGCCTGCGCCATTGTGGCAACCTGTCGCAGCTGTACCGTCACTGCCATGTCCTGTTTGGTCGTGTTGAACACGGCAACGCAGCTGGCAGTGAGCGCTGGCCAGGCTGTGGCACCGGCGCCAATTGGCGGGACCTCAAACTGCTCTGCAGCGGCAGCGCCAGACGTGTGTGTGGCCGAGCCCTCAACACCACGGGCCGTCACCGTCATGCGCACAGCATCGAGCGCGTACTTGTTCACGGTGACAGAGGCCATGAGGTCGCCGTCAACCGTGGTGTACGTGCACTCGCTGGCAACGGCATCTGTCTCCAGCGCTAGCATACCTGTGAAGTCACCACAGTTCTCATCGGCAGACGTGAAACTGGCAGACGTCACGGTCTCAACACTGCCGTCGCTGAGGGTGCGGGTGACGGTGAAGGCGGCCGATGACGGCAGCCCTGTCACAGCCTCGGCTGCGCCTGCGTTGGCAAAGGGCACGACCAAGTCAACGCTTGTCGGCGACACGGCGATGGACACGACAGTGGCATCTGTCGTGGTCACATTCACGGCGGCCTCAAACGTCTTCCTTGCACATGTGGCCTTCGGCCACTGGGCGGTGATGGCAGCAAGGCCCGAGGTTGCCGTGGTGGTGACGGTTGCCGGGTCATCGTTGCTCTGCGCCACAGTTGCCACGTCCGTGTTGTCGCTGGCAAAGGCGACTGCGGATGGCGCGAGCGCCAGCTGCTGCCTGTTCTCCGTGACCTGCTCCATGACGACGGCTGCCACGTAAAGGCGCGCCGCGTTGGCGCTGCTGGTGAAGCGGGGAAGGTTGCTGCTCGACACGCTGACCGCGGCCGAGACCCACAGGTTGCCTGCGTCGTTGATGGTGGCGGTAAAAGTGGCGCCACCGACGGCGTACGCACGCACGCCGAG